ATTGAATGAAAGTAAATGTCAGACTGTCATATTGTGTTTTCTTAGATAGTTGAGTATCAACATATTATATCATACAGGAAATACAAATAAATAATAGGTAAAATATCTAATAGCGGGTTATGAGAATTGTTTTAATATTTTTCGTTTGAATTGTATATTTGCTTAAAATACTTTGTTACTTACTTAAAATAACTCCCGACCCAACTATTGTGATATACCTAGAAAAATACCAGACCCAAATAGTGTAGACCCTAATACTTACGCCCTTGGCGTTTTGTATGATACCTTCTGATCTTTTAAAGTAGTAGGGTACCTACCAAACCAAATTACCTTGTTGTAACCAGCTTTCATAGTCCATTTTGATGCTACTTACACGTCGTACATATATCATATAGTTCATCACGTTCATCACCAATTGCAACGTTGATCATTTAAAACTGAAATATAAATATTAAATATTATATTTATATATATAATTGTAAATTTGTTATGTGTGTTGAAGTGTAGCATTAAAATTACTATCGGAAGATATGAATAATATACTACGACATCTATATTATACAAGGGCTTGAAAGTTGAAATCGGTTTCAAAACCGTTTTTAGAAACCGGTATTAAATTCAAAATCAAATCAGAAAAAATTGGAAACTGGTAATAAATTCTAGACCGAAATCGGAAAAAAATTGGAAACCGTAATTATAATTAAGTTTTATAAATTTTAAAATGTGGAAAATATATTTTTGTTCTTGGTTCCTTATAAAAGCTTCAAATGTATAGGATGAAATTATAAAATCACTCTTAGAAAAACAACTATCTTATTTTTATTAAAAATTAAAAAAACTTATTCAGTATTTAAAGGTAATAAAACTACTAAGTTATAATTTAAAGTCAGCTTGGAAATCTATTTAAAAAAAATTAGAATGTGGTATACAAAATCGAAACCGAAATATGTCAATCGGTTTCAAGACCTGCATTTTTCTATACATTTGTATTTTGTTTATAAATGGTGTTTAGTGGTTACATTATATTTTAATAATTTAATAATATTTCAGTATATAATAATGAGATTAAGTTTTTTTTTTATGATAACTAGCTGATCCCGTGCACTTCGTTACCCGTTAAAAATGCTAACTCTACACGAGACTCACTTGTGATAAAGTAAGTAGTATATTATCAGGTACTTTATTATACTCTATAAAAATACTATGTTTTATTTTTATTTTACATTTAATTTTGATTGTGTACTCGCTGATGAGCGGCTAAAAGTGTAACTCAGTCGACAACCAACCTTGTTAGACAATGTACTAAAATTCAATTTGATGCATTCTTAAACCTGATCCGCCCGATTAATCAATGGCAACCAAACAATTTAAAAAAATAACAAGTTCTATTAAAAAATTAAGAAAGTTGAGCGGAAAATTAGTTGTTAATTAAAATAAACATGCAAATTGTATGCGCATAATGTATGGCACGGCGGCCCGCAGGTTTCCAGCTGGTAACGTGACTTTTTTGTCCGTCAAATTATGTGTTTGACTTGCTCTTGTATATATTTAACTTATAGCATTGCGAGTTCTGCGACTTAAGTTTGTTTACAATTTTAAGCTTGATTGCTTAAACAAACCATAATGAACAAACACTTATTAAAAAACACACTATACAATTTTTCATTAATTTTCCGATTGATTCGAATGTGAAATGAACACTAATAAATTATAAGCTAACTATTTTATATCATAGATGGATGGATCTGTTTTAAATGATAATCGATAAGCGTGATTCCTCGACTAAGGGAAATAGAGATTTATTTTTATATACATAGATAGATACAGATAGATTGTAGAATTTTACTTTTCGGAACAATTCATATCTACACGCCAATCAAACACATTTAGTTGGACGGCCAAAAAGTTATGGTTGAATACTTTAATGTCGCTATGGAAACAAAAAGGTCGCCGTGCTGTAAAATATGTATTTATAGATATACAATTTAACTAAACCTAAACAATTTATTTTTGGCGATTTCAACCCTTTAAAATCAACATTTGAAAAATCTTTTCTAAGTGGAACTTGACATTATAATATTAATCTATCCTCAAAATTTCAATTCGATAACTCAAATAGGTTCGGCTCTGCGTTGATCATTGTAAGTACACTTTCCTTTATATATAGAAATAAATAATTGTTGCCATTGGTTACATATACTTGGTTACATACTGGTTACAACATAATATATTCCACATAACAATTGTTGTGTACTTGTATCTAAATTGTATATTAAAAAAATAACATGAATTTATTTATTTATATCATCTTATAACTCCATGCTTCCTTGATCATCTGCATCATTGTCACCTAAATCATTTAATACAATTAATTTGGTAGGTGGATAAAAATTCCACGAAAAAAAAGATCACGGAAAAAAAGCCTAGAAAAAAAATTAAATATAAATGTGAACACATGGTATACTCTACCTTTAATGAATAATTCATAAATTATTTTACCCAATAAAGGTAATTTTCTATGCGAATACTCAATTAATAAGAAACTTTATTTTACCTATTTATTCAATGAAAAACTTCAAATATAAATAATTTTTATGTCTGGATATGGCTTATGCTTAACTATTACAATTATACCTAATAAAAAACAACTTTTAAAAGAGAAAAATCTCAAGATTATAAATTAAATTCCATTATACATTATAAATTATATAAATTCCAATTTCAACTTTTGTTAAAAATATAGTTGCTGCAGTCAAATATTTGGCAAGATCGCTTAGTTGTATTAGCTCTGCTAAACATTCAAAGGCACAAGGATTTTCAAAAATGTAAAAGTTGATTGACATGTTTGGAATCAGTATAAGAAGAAATATAGCCCTTATATTATTATTATTTTATTTTTATATGAATATGTATTGAAACCCCACGGCTTAAAACTGAAAATATTTTACTAAATATATATATTGATTTCGTTTTCAGTTCCAATATCGATTTCGGTTTTAACCGGTATTCAAAATCGGTATCCAATATCAGTTTCAAGCAATGCATTATGATTGTAATATTATTATAACCACCAGAGCTTGAAAAATAAAATATTTTTTTCTACTTTGATTTAGGCGGTTATATCGGTATTTATTTTTTTCGATTTTGATTTCGGGTTTCGGAAATTGGTATTTATTTTAGCCAATTTCGTTTTTGATTTTGAATATTGGTTGTTATTACTGGTAATGATTATTTTTCAATTCCGTTTCCAGCTTCATTATCGATTTCAGTTTTTAACCTCTATTCAAAATCTGTATCCAATATCAGTTTTAAGTCCTGATTAAAGGTATGTATTTAAACTTTTGAGCAATAAATATGGTACTTTTTATTGTGTTTTTTACCATAACTGAAAAAGTTTGAACCAGTGTCTAAAAACTCTAACCGCGAATGAAAAAAATAGATTAACTATTTATTCCTTATAGTGCCATAGTGAGAAATTTTTATATTTTTCTGTTCAGGTAGACAAGAATTTTTTTTAAAAACACGTAAAAATCGTTATTACGTGCCAACTATGATGTATTCCGATAGTTTTTTGTATGGAACACACAGCTGATTGTGTTAGGTAGGCACATGACATATAATAGTATAATATGGATTAGAAATATTTTGTGTTAGGTATACATCAACATATAGTTTCAAAAATATGTTTTGATTCATTAAAAATTATAATTATGATGTTATATTTCCCGTATATAGGTAAAACAATGTTTAATAATTAGCTGTTTCATCATACATATTTTTATAATAGATAACCGCTAAAATATCCTACTTCAATAATTCAATCAACTACCAAAATATTTCCTGGCTAGTAGTTTATCAGAATATTTATATATTTTGAAATAATGATCATTTAATTACAAAATAATCACCAGGTATTTCAGCCAACAGTATTTTAGTCTAAAACTATCTAGCCCTAGGTAATAATATTTCGGACGATGCAGTATTATTAAGAGGACGCCACACCCGCATGTGTTGTCTCCGTCTTACAAAGGTACAACATAGCAACAACTGTTTTGCGCGGGACAACTTTTATCTTTCTGTGTTTGTAGTAGTGGCTCCAAAATTTCTGAACATATCGAGTAGAAAATTATCTATGCAACAGCGTGCCTATATTTTAGATAACATAAATACAATAAAAGTTATTTGCTTCTAAACATTTTGTTTTTTTTTCATTTGCTTATCAAAAATGGTTGGAAAGTGTAATTAAAAAAAAAGCACGCTGTTGCACAGATAAAGTTCTTCTTTACGTGTTGTGAAAATTTAGTAATTCTATAGCAAATATGGTGCGAGAAAAGTTGTCCCGCGCTAAATAGTTTTTGCTATGTTGTACATTTGTAAGACGGAGACAGCACATGCGGGTGTGGCGTCCTCTTAATAACATTATTTAGGTATTTTGATGGAAAAATATTTATCTGCCAAAATACTATCGGCTAAAATATAATACTTAGCTCAAATATTTGTCGGCTAAAATATTGACGGCAGAAATATTATCATTCTAAAATATAGCTCTACACTTAAGTCACCAATCAAACTATTATCTATTGTTAATTGTCATTGCAGCAAATATAAATTGCATTGGTTAAACATAATTAAAATCAAAATCTATTACTGTGCTATAATTATTTACTATAGGCACAGCAATTATTTCTGAATAATGTTTCTGACCATGATAAATTAATACTACAATTTTAAATAGCTTAAAACAAATTAAATTTCCAATCGCTTCGTAATTCTGTGTAATACCAACATCATTTCGTACATTTACTGTTTTTTTTTTTTTTTTTTTTTTTTTTTTTTTAGTAAGACATTTTTTGAAAAGAAAAAATTAACGTGCATTAATCGTTCAAGTAAAGTAAGATAAATTATTTGAATTGGTATTTGGAATTTCGAGTGCTTAGCGATGTCAAGAGTTGTGGTATTTATGAAACTATAAAATTGATAACCAAAATGACCCTTAATTGAATTCCACATTCCAGAGTCCAGACAATATCCCTACTCCAAAAAATCGTTTCGATGACCTTCGACATAGTATAGTATAGTTTATACCAGCTTATAGTTTTTGTTTGATTATAATAGTTTCGATTTAACACTTTACCCATATGGTTGCGATTTGTTTGAAACAGTGTAAGTATTTTTTGTAAGTATAAATATTTTCAATACCTAACAATTATTAACAAATGATAACTGATAATTTATGTTTATATTTTTTAAATGTATTTTGCTTAAATATTGACAAAAACATAATAATATTTAAACATTTGAAACAGTTTAAAAAAAGACAACAAAAAGTAACACCAATTATTAGAATTATTCATTTCTCATATTATTAAGTAGATAGATATTCTAATATTCAATGGTCATTTATAATCATTTGTATGGGTTTCGACTTTCGAACTAATAAAAACAAATACCTAATTGTATAATATGTTTTCAAAATAGTTAAATATATTCATAATAAGATATAGGTTACAACATTATAACATAATATAAAATAATTATCATACATTTGGTTTTGCATATTTGTGTCATTTTATAATGTATAGCATATTTGTTTTACTCATACAAATTGTACTTTTTTTTTCTAGTGCACTTACACAATAGATTTACAAGTGTTGCTTCTAAGCAAGAACCAGTACAAATGACTTCTACTTGGGAAGTAAATAATTTACCAAACAACAAACTTAACTCTGAAATATTCTGCATGGATGATTCTGTATTACAGAGTGACCCTCCGAAAGACAGGCGAGTTCAAATTTATATACCTACCCTACCTGCACCAATGATATTTATATTTACATTGTGCACGTGGTCTTGAAATTATAATTTTGTACATAATAATTGTTTATTAAGTAATTTACCATTGATCATATTACTAATTAAAAAATGTCATGAAACTTTCTATACTTTAGTTTATTTGCAGACAATTTTTATTTTAGAATCTGCTTAAACTTTATTCTGATATTAAAATGTTAGTGATGAATAAACATTTTTAAATTAAATTTGTTCCGAAAATGCTTTTTTCATAAATTTTGATTAAAATGTACCTACTCATAATATTTTTGATTAATAATTATAATATTGTTTGTTTTTATTGATTGTTCTAGATGGAATATTGTGTATCTGATTTTAGTTCTACACGGAATAGGAATATTAATGCCTTGGAATATGTTTATAAATGCTAAATCTGTAAGTGGAAATTCTATGCTAAAATTGAATGTATGTTTATTATTATAGGGATTATTATGATAACTAAGTATATAATATATTCTAAACATATTAAAATACTTAAACTAGTTAAACTGGTTTGCTTTAAAAATGTGGTAGATTTAATTTTCAATAAAAATGCCATTTATTAACTGTTGTTTGGTGTTTAATAGACTATTTATTCAATTTATTTAAGAGTACCTATTTATTTAGAAGTTTCGTTTAATAGTCTTGTTTGAAACCCAGTCTTATTGTAGTTTTACTTTTTATATCTAGTTGCATAGACTTTATTTAACTCAACCAGACATGAAATGAGTGTTATGCAAAATTTAAATAATCAAAAAAATTATTATGTACTTTACTATAAAACAGTTATATAACTAATTTACTTCTGATGAAAACATTTGAATTAATAATATATATTTTTTTTTTTTACTAGTATTTTGTGGATTACAAGTTGGGACACGATTATTTAGGTGATGATTTGTACTATGCGTCCATTTTCATGGCTTATTTGACTATTGGGTCACAGTTTCCCAGTCTTCTATTCAATTGGCTTAACATATTTTGTCCTATAGGGTAAGATTAAATGTACATATTAATAATGTTATGTCCGAGGACCTAATGCATAATATTACTAGTTATGAATATGGTACCTACTGTTGATGATTATGTGTAATGTATAGTCAGCTAATGGCTGTAGGCTATCATTTTTTTATTATTTAAAAACATTTATTATAGATTTAAAAAATAAACGTATGGTTCATCATGCAATCAAATCTTAATTCAGAGATTTAGTTAACTTTTCATTAAACTTCTATCAGTTATGTGTAGTATCTTTGATACAAATTGTATGTATAATCTATAATCTATGTGATCTAGGTAATCTAAAGATAGGCCTCAAATTAATTGCACTTTGAGATACAATATGATAAAGACATAATTTGTAAATTGTTCAATGTGTAGAAAATTAATTCCACATAAGAATCATGCAGTACTTCATAATATTATGTATTTGTTTAAACTTAAAATGTTGTTAAATTATGGTAAACAATTTTCAATGGACATAACGATCGGATTAAGTTATATTAGTAAAACAAACAATAATATTATAATATAAATGCAAAATATTGATTTATGAATAATTAAAAATAAGTAGTAATATTAACCTGAAAGTAAAAATGTTTGATAATTGATCAAATAGGCATGGGTACAAATAACTTCTCAACAAATAAGGATTGTATATTAGCTATTATAAATCAAAATGTTTTTTTATACACATATATTAAATTGTTAATAATTTAATTTCCAGCGGAAAATTGACGACTCGAATTGTGTGGTCTATTCTTACTGAAGTACTTTGTTTTATTTTTACTGTTGCATTGGTCATGATTAATACTTCTCAAATACCAGCTCTATTTTTCTGGTCAACTCTGTGCAGTATAGTATTGTTAAATATGGCAAATGGTATTTACAACAGTTCTGTTTTTGGGATGGCAGCTAAACTCCCTGCAAAATATATTGGTGCTGTAGTTCTTGGTACAAATTTAAGTGGTACATTTACATCTATCGCTAACATTGCATCAATTTCAATAACTCCAGATGCTCGAACTGCTGCTATATATTATTTCACCACCGCATTGTTTGTGTTGCTTACCTGCTTTAATACATACTTTGCATTGCCATCAAATGTAAGTAATTATACTTTTGAGTATGAATACACAAACAATAAAATACATTTATTTATGTGTGTATGTATACTTTTAGAGATTTTATAAGTTTCATGAACACATTTATCTACAAAAAATCGAAAATCAAGATTTAAAACAATGTGGAGATGATGATAAGATTCCTTATTGGAGTATTTTTAAACAAGCTGGTCCACAATTAATTAATGTATTTTTTGTATTTTTTGTCACTCTTTCAATATTTCCAGCAGTTCATTCAGGTAAAACTTAATTTTTTTAAATAAATTATTGTTTACAATTATTAAAATTATATTATTATTTATACGTTATAGATATTAAAATGTCAAGTAAAGATTTTATTTTCGGAGAAACATATTATACCAGTGTAATGTGTTTTTTGACATTCAATGTATGCGCACTTATTGGAACATATCTTTCTACATTGGTTTCATGGGTAAATATTAATTAACTTTTTATTGCTGATTAGATAATTTAATTTGATATTATTCATTTATTTTATTCCAGCCAAAGCCAAAATGGCTTTTTGTTCCTGTGGCATTAAGAATTCTTCTTATTCCATTATTTTTGATTTGTAATTACCACCCAATCGGTGTTACAAGAATAATGCCAGTGTTAATAGAAAATGATTATGTATTTTGGACATTAGGAGCAATCCTTGGATTATCTAGTGGTTATTACAGTTCTGTAGCAATGATGTATACTCCAAGGTAACAATAATTTCTCATACTGCATAACTATATTTAAAATGAAACAATATTTGTCTTTGAGTATTGACTACATTCAATTACCTAATTTATAGTATTATAAAGCTAATAATATATAAAGACAGGGTCAGACCGTTCATTTTTTTCAAAAATGTATCCACATGTTAGATCCCCAAATGTTAAGAGTATATACTGTCTTCAGATGTTGTCAACCACTTGTTCTGTCATCTGTATTACATGTATAATAATTATATACTAATAAAATATGGTTATTTCCAGCTGTGTTGAACCAAGGTACAGTGGCATTGCAGGTATGTTTGGAGCTGCTGTGCTGCTCACTGGCATTTGTTGTGGGATACTCTTCGGAATGATAACACCATTTATTGTAAGACATGTGTCTATATAAAATATAAATTATAATGTTTTAAAACTTTTTCATATTTAATAACACTTATTTTTCTGCTTTATGTATTTTAAAGAATTAGACATTCATTATAACTATGTTATAATTAGGTTTACTAACCTTGATTTAACCACAATTTGCTATAGGTACATATCAAAATAAATTTATAATACATATAAATTATTACAAATATTATTAGAACACTTAATGTATACATATATCACAATTGAACTATTATAAAGTTGTTCAGTTATTTATTCATCATAATATTTTTGTGAGTATTCTAAAATTAACATTAAAAATCTTAAGTGCCATTAAAATTTTGTATTTTACATACAAGTGCTTATTATTATCTTTTTTATTTTATCTCAAAACATTAAGTTTAATTTATTTGCTGTATTAAATTTTAGTATTGTTTAAGCCAATGTGTTGTACACTTAATAATTTACATTTTAATATCAAATTTTTATTATTTTAAACATTTATCTTAGAAATGGCATATTAAATTTAAATTTAAATAATTTAAATATAAAACAATTACTTAGTCCATTGATACTTAGTCCTATGATTCAAATTGTATAACGTGAATAAATCAATAAAATATTGTTTAAATTACTCAAATTATTGTTTGAATATTTTATACCGTGATCGGAATGATTTTACAATGTTTTTTATTTATAAGAGTTATATACTATATTATACTAACCTTTGGGTGGTTAAAAATTCTTCAAATTTAAATGCCAAGTAGTTTTGAAAAAATAGGAGAAAACAAAAAAAAAAGGTTACAAAAACTGATATTTTTAAGAAGAACTATTTTTTAACAAAATCAATGATGTTGTTTGTCGTAACTCAATACTAATAACCATAGATACTTCTAATTTCAAAAAAAATTACTGACCACACTTTATACAATTTTCAAAATATTTTATATTTTTTTCGAATTACCTATTTATAAGCAAGAGAATTTTTTAGCATTGTTATTGCAGATAAATGATCTATTCCTTTGTCTAAAATTACGAAAATGTATTAATTCTTATAGAATTTATAGTTCTTCAAATTTTGTTATCATTTCCGTTCAATATTATTAAAGATACATAATCAATACTATATATTATGTACTTAGAAATGAATAAAATGATCAATTAATATGCCTAAAGATTGGAATTTGAGAACAAGGTTTCTCATTAGTAGTTGATTGTTTTAATTAAATGATACGAATACAGTTTTTTGAATAACTTTAATTTAAAATTTGGACTATAATAAATAGGTATTTTAACAAAGAATAAAAATGTTTGTTACTTTATTGTAATTTTAAAATGTTATTTATGGATACTTGGAACTTTTAAAATATATTATTTTATTAAAAGTTTTAAATGGAAATATTAAATTCACACTACTGTATGCCTATTTACTAATAAGTAATAGTAAAATAAAATACTTTAGGTTAATGGCTAATAGCAATAACATCATACAATATAATTAGTCTTAACTATTACATAGACTATCAGGCTGATACAGACTTTTTTGGCTAATAATTTTTTCGCTTATTATGCAATGACAAAATATAATTAAATTCAAATTCAACACATTCATGATCCACTGTTACGTGTTATGGGAAAAATCGGATGTTATTTAGAAAAACTACCAGAAATATAGTAGGTAACCTAACCGTATATTAGCGGAAATGAGAGCCCCGAACAGCGATATTTTGGACTAGAAAATAAACAATTAAATTGTTAATCTTCTGTTCACTTACCAATATTTCGTTGACCCGAATATTCTGGTACAAACAATATTTTACAGTTTAAATGTGAACACTTTGAATTAGCATCATTTGTAATAAAAACATTAAACAATTATTCAAGTCTACCCTAATTTTTTACAACTCTACCTCGTCCTTATCCATCAACGGTATTCTGAGATCAATTATTGTTATACGGGACTCAGAAAACAGAAAACCATTTTTTTTTAATTAGGTACCTACATACATATCTATTTTGTTTACGTACTAATACAGGGGTCGGGAACCTTTTGGTAAGAAAGAGCAACTTTTTCGAAAAATTACAAAACCATGATGTCCAGGGAGCCGCACGGGTTTGAACAACTTTTTTTTTAGTTGTAGTTGTTAGTATAGACAATATATTATACAATATTAGAAAAAAGATATTTTTATTATTTCATTGAAAAATTGGTAGACATAAAAAACATAATGATAGGTCTTAAATTTAGAAAATATAGAAAAACTTTATTTTATTAATTCATTATTATAATTGTTGTTGTTTACATAAATATAATTTTATTTTACTAAATACAATAACACATAAAACAACGTACCTACTTAATATTTGTGGGAAATTTCCAAAGAGCCGCAGGTTCCTGACCCCTATACTAATGGAACACGTTAAGTCAATATGAATAAATTATCATAACGTATACTGTATGCAGTAGAAAATATTTTTTGGATATTTTCGTCAAATTATAAATACTTGATAATAATTAGCTACTGTATATTATTATCTATTATTTGGCAGCGACGAACTTAACTCGACAGTGAATATGATTACTTCGTCCGCTGCGACTTTGAAAGGTTTCATCAATGTCCGCAAATATTTCTTGCAATTTGATTTAAGTTCATTTCTTTTTTAAAGTTGTTAAGAATCTTTTTCACTAGGTACTAGAAATAATAAAAACATTAATTTTTTTCTGTAAATTAATAAAAAAAATTAATAGTGAAATAATTTGATAAACATTGTTTTATTTTAGATTCTGAGTGGAGTAATGTAAGTAAGATAAGGTTCCTTGTAAGTTTTTACATACGTTGATAATGGAAATTTTAAAAAAAGTTGAGCGTAAATCTACTAGTTATTTATGAGCTCTTAAATTTAGAATTTCGACAAAATTCGTAAAAATCACGAAAATTAGTAAATCATATTAATAGTTACAATTTTCTTTTAAATCTAAAATTTAAAAATTTAATACAAGATTCCTTTAAGGTTGTCTACCTTTATCAAAAATAAAATTTCTACCGGAGAGTCAAATTAAATTTTTATTAGTGTTAGAAGTTAAAATTATAATTAATAACATTGGATATTTACTCGATTTCTGTTGTAGCGATTTTCTTATTTTGTTGTAATTCAAAAACAAATTACTGTATTTACACCACATGTTTATTTGATCAATACTTGATAAATTTTTCAAAATATTTTTACTCGTTGTAAGTTGTTGACTGGCATTTTCAATTTTCATTTTTTTTTCTATAAATGTCAATAAAATTTTATTAGTTGTGTCAAAAAGCATGAACATTTAATGCAAGACTTTTGATATATTGTTATAGTAGCAGTTAAAAAATATTAAAAATACATAGGCATGATTTTTTTTTTTATAAGCATTTAAAGTTCAAATGTTGACAATATTAATTATCAGATTGAAAATTGAAAATGATTTTGCAATTAAAAAATGTTAAGGATTTTCAATTTGTATAGGTAAGAATTGAAAATGTAAAACAAGGTTCCACTCAAGCAGTTTTTTCCGTAACTAAAAAAATCTAAAAAATATATGTATACAGTTATATTTTACTCACATTTTAAGTTCGTATTTGGAAAAAATTGCATATTAACACAAAGAATAAAGTTTGTCATTTTGTTGTAATTCGGTTTCAAAACAGCCCAATTTTATACACTGCAGGTGTAAATATATTTAATATTTTTCTAGTACCACTGATAGTTTTTGAATAATATTAATTCAACTTACTATGGCTACCATATTATTAAATTGAATACCCACCATCCATTACAGCGACCTTCTAGACACTTACTGTACAGCAGAGCGACATCCACTATAACCCGCTTTTTTAAAACTGCTTACCTATATTAATGTAACAATCTGACTACGTTCGTTTGATGGTGATGAGAATAAATGAACAAGAGTTTGATTTTTCTTTATAATTTGAATAATTTTTATTTAATTAATACAAAACACAATAAATTTACTAAGTCCAAAATGACTATTTTAAATAATGAAGACTAGCGAGATGTGACTTTAATATCCTAGCTCCTAGCTCTTCGTTGGTGTTAGTTCGTCTAGTTCGTCTAGCTCGGTGTCGTTGGTCCGTCTGCCGAAGCCTATTCGTGCGACGTTTTTATAATGGTGATCCTTGGATCATATCCCTGCCTATTATCCTACTACTTTACCATATAAGGTCATACCGTGGGCGGCCACGCGCTGCACACGCCGGATGTCCCTTGCTTATCTGGTCGTTGTCATCTCTACAGAGGCAACACAACACTTTTAGTGCGAACTATTTTAATAATATTCATATAAGTAGTTATATATCTACGAACATATACGTTTCGAGGCCACGCGCAATTTATCATAATGAATAGGCGCTTTGTAGGCCTCCTTCAACTATTATATATATTATAGAGTTCTTGTCCAGGTTATTTATAATATTTAAATAAAGTCACAGCTCGCTACATTAATAATTATTATCGGGTAGGCAGTACAATTAAAGATGTAAGTATGTAACAACGAATAATTTTTCTACGGAGCTCCGACGTTTTATTCACAATATTAATGTTCAATGCCGCGGCATTGACATCGGTGGCACGGGGAGGTTGTCCCCGCCCGCGTCGATATAATATATAGGTAGGTAATATTATTATACCATCATTAGTCGTAAATCATAATCGTCGCCGTAATCTTCTCTACATCGGGTGCGTTCCAGTTGTAAGTAAGTCGTTAGTAAGCGCTTAGAGTGCTCATACTCACGTTTATGCTTATGAACCATTAAACTAACAAACATACGCACAAAATCACTTTGCTTACGGTCCAAGTGGAACGATCGTGAACCTGCCACGAGCGCTTAGAGTTATCAACAATTAAATTGATGAGTAACGTGATACACGAATTCGTCTGTTTTTCAAAAACAATTTTTGCGAATAAAACATAACTTTTAACGTTTATTAATTTGTCAACGTAAAGTGACTGTGTTTTTCATGGATAATTCGAATGATGGCGGGTTAGTATTATTATGACTATACAACAATGCCGTGATGTTATATTATGTACTTTCCTCTTCGTCGGACGACAGCGAAGACAACTTTACTGCTGCAATGAATACATAATACATAGTCACATAGTACAGTGTGCAATACGTCTGTTGCAGAATAAATTATGTTGAAACCATCGTACCACAATAATA